CCCCGGGCTGGCCCCGGGCCGCCCCGGGCCGCCCAGGCAGGCCCCAGGACATGTCCAGAGGGCCCCAGAAGCCCCCAAGACGGCCCCGGAGAGCCCCAGCACGCTTAAAGATGGGCCCAAGACGCCCGAGATTCGCCCCAGGCGGCCCAAGAGGCGTCCAAGTCGCCCGAAGAGGCCCCCCAAGAGGCCCCCCAAGAGTGCCCCGAGCGACAGAAATCGTCGATTTCTACTGTGTTTTTCGATGTTTTCGGCCTCCTCGCCTCGTCGGCTTCCCGACGCTCCAAGACGGCCCAAGAAGCCCCCCCGACCGCTCCAAGACGGCCGAAGAGGACCCCAAGAGAGCCCCAAGACGGGCCAGGAGGGCCCCCAGACGGTCCCAAGACGCCCCAGGACGGCCCCAGGACGGCCCAGGAGGCGCCCAAGACGGCCCAAGAGGCACCCAAGACGGCCCCAGGAGCGGCCCAAGACGGCCCACGACAGCCCAAGAGGCGCCGAGGCGGGTTCCAGACGGCCCCAAGACGGCCCAAGAGGCACCCAAGACGGCCAGAGAGGGCCCTAAGAGCCCCCCCGGGAGGCCCAATCGAAGGCCGAAGAGGCTCCGAAACGGCCCCCACGAAGCCTTCAGTGCCTTCAGAATTCCCTCCAGGAGCGGGGGAGCGGACGAGAGGCGACAGGCATATCGCAGGCAAAAACGCCCCAAGAGATCCCCAAACGGCCCCCACGAAGCCCTAAGTGGCCTCAGAATTGCTTCCAGGAGGGGGGGAGCGGACGAGAGGCGACCGGCGTATCGAAGGCACAAAAGAACAATGTTGGACGCTCCGAGGGTCTTCGATGTTTCTCCGTTGGGGAGAGTCGTCGTAAGATCGACGATTGCCGACCGAGGGCAGCGAATCCAGTGGAGGCCAAAGAGGCCCCCAGGAGCCCAAAAGAGATCCCCAAGAGGTGCCACGGGGCTTAAAAACTGCTTCGCAGCGAGGGGGGCGGACGAGGGGACCGCCTCAGGAGGTTTTGGACGGTTTTGGGCCTCAAAATCGTCCGCTTTACGACGGTTTTGGAAGGATTTTGGCCTTCTCGCCTTTTCCGCTTTCCGACGCTCGACGGCCCAAGAGGCCTCCAAGAGCGCCCCAGAACGGCCCAAGAGGTTTCCAAGAGCGCCCCAAGACAGCCCAAGAGGGCCCCAAGACGACCCAAGAGACGCTCAAGACGGCCCACGAGGGCCCGAAGACAGGCCCAAGAGGGGGCCAAGAGGGGGACCACGGACCGAAAATCCGAGCCTTCCGCCCCAAGAGGGCGCCAGGAGGCCCAAACAGGCCCCCAAGAGGCCCCAAGGGGCCGCCAAGAATCCCCCGAAGAGGCCCCAGGAGGCTCCCAAGGAGCCCAAACGAGGCCCCTACAGAGGCCCCAACAGCTTCCAAAATGGCCCCGAAGAGGCCTCGAGCCCGCCTCCGAGCTTCCTCGCCGCGAGGGTGCCAACACGGCCCCAGACCGGCCCAGGACGGCCCAAGGCGCGCTCAAGACGGCCCAAGACGATTCCAAGACGGTCCCAGGAGGGTGCGCCCAGGACGGCCCAAGGACGCGCCCGTTCGGGGCCTCAAGACGGGCCAAGATGGCAAGAGAGTCCCAGCTGGCAAAAATCGTTAATTTTCCATTGTTTACTGTTACACCCTTTGCGTTTCCCGCCGTTTCGGCGGTCCGATGCACCAAGAGGCCCCAGAAAGTCCCAGGAGGGTCCGAGGAAACGCCCAGGAAGGCCCCAAGACGGGCCAAGACGGACCCAGCACAACCCAAGGCGCGCTGCGACGGCTCAAGACGGCTCCAAGACAGCCCCAAGAGGGTGCCAACACGGCCCCTGCTGGGCCCAGGACGGCCCAAGGAGGCGCACAGGAGGGGCCCAAGACGACTCCAAGGCGGCCTCCTCGCGGTCCCAGACGGCTCCAAGACAGCCCCACGAGGACCCCGATGGGCCCAGGACGGCCTACGGACGCGCCCATGAGGGGCCCACGACGAACCAAGACGGCCCCATCAGGGCAAACGGCGCCCTCAAGACGGGCCTAGACGGCTCCAAGACGGCCCTTTGAGGGAGCCAACGCGGCCCCACACCCTTCGGGCGCACACTTGGGGGGGCTGGGAGCTTGCGACAAGTCTCCCACATTCATTGTCCTGCCCCATTCTGTTCGCCTGGAGGCCTCCTCCAACCCTGTGGGCGAACAAGAGGAATCCCAGCGGGACGCCAACCCTGGGGCCCGTGGGCCCCGCGCCGCTTGGGCAGAAGACGAACGCCGGGTCTGACAGGCCAGCTACCGCCCCCCTTTGCCCGATATGCTGTGCCATTCTGTTCCCCCAGGGGCCTTGGCAAACTCTTCGGGCCAAGCAGACCGGACCCCTGGGACAGCAGCCAATTGATATGACCCTGGGACCTCTCCGCATTCTTCGGACGAGCATCTGGGGGGCCCAGGAGATTCGGACATGTCTTCCCCATTCCTTGCCCTGTCCCGTTCTGTTCGCCCGAAGGCCTCCACAGACCCTCTGGGCGAACAGAATGGGACATGGCGAACAAACCCTCCCGTTGGCGGTGATGCGACTGGATCGCACCATCAAGGCGCGCCCGGAGGTGATGGCCGACCCAACAGCGGTTTCTCTTAAGAGTTCACTGGATTTCAAATTTTCTTGAAGCTCTCTTGGGCCCTCCCTGTAGATCCTTGCGAGCCTCCCCGGCGCTTTCGGTGGCTTTCCCCGATGGCCTCCCGAGCCCTTCCCCGAGCGCTCCTGAGACGCCTCAGATGGGCTTCGACTTCGACGCACATCCCCGAGAGACTTCGAAACTGTCCTCAATAGGAGGGGGGTGAACGAGCAGTGCGCTGGGCCAAGCTGCTGCAGCGCTGCAAGAGCTCGGACACGAAGGCGCGGTCTCGCTGCCGCCGCCCGAGCCGCCGCCGTGTTTGTAGATTTTCGGTACAATCTGCGCCGTTCCTCCGAGAACCATTCCAGAAAGATTTCGTGGACGGAGTCCACGGGTCAGCCCTAGTCAGTTACAACGCTGAGATCAGCGCGTGCGAGAAGGGCGAGCAGTGGCAGCGGGCGCTGGCGCTGCTGAGCGAGATGCGGGACGTGCAGCTCGAGCCCGACGTCATCTATATTCTAACGCCGGGGGCGCCGCGTGCCACAAAGACGCAGGACCTAGTGGTTCAAAACCGCTCCGGGCTAGCCCCGGGGCGCTCCTGGCCGCCCAGGGAATCCTGAAGACGGGCCAAAAGGGCCCGCAGACGCCCCCGAGGCGGCCCATGAGTGCCCTGAGACGCCCAATGATCGGGCCAAGACGCCCAAGATTGGCCCAAGGACGGCCCACCAGGTCTCAAGACGTTCCAAGAAGCCTCTCCAGAGGGTCCCCAGAGGCAAACACTGCTGAATCTCATTTGTTTTTGTTTCGATGTTTTCTGCCGTCTCTCTTTGTTGGCTTCCCGACGCTCGAAGACCGCCCAAGAGGCCCCCCAGACCGCTCCAAGACGGCCGAAGATGCCTCCCAGACAGCCCAAGAGGGCCCCAAGATGGCCTATGAACCCCCCAAGACGGCCCGAAGAGGGCCCCACCAGGGGGGGGGGCGAACTGACCTTTCGTGCCTCCGCTCCAGGATGATCCCAGCCAGCTGGCCCCCAAGAGGCTCTCCCAACCGCCCCCGAAGGCGCCACAGTGCCAGAAGACAGCCCAGGAGGGCCCCCAAAGCCCTCAAGACGGGCCCCTTGGGGCGAACATGCTGTTTTTTTTTTCCATGTGTTTTGTAGGGTTTCAGCGTTTTCGCTTTTTCGGAACCTTCACGCTCCAAGCTGGCCCCAAGGCCCCCAAGAACGCGCCACGATGGACCAAGAGGCCCCTAGGAGAGCTCCAAGACAGCCCAACAGGGCGCCAAGACGGCCTAAGATGGCCCCAGGAGTGCTTCACGAGGTGAAAGTCCAACTGGCATTTCGCGCCCTCCGCTCCAGGATGATCCCAGAAACCGCCAGTTGCCCTCCGACGCCCCAGAAGGCGCCACAGTGCAAGAATACGGCCCACGAGGGCTCCAAGAGGCCCCCAAGAAGGGTTCCGAGACGCTAGGATGATGGATTTTTTGTTTGTTGAAGGGTTTCAGCGTTTTCGTGTTTTTTTTTTCTAGTCTCCACGCTCACAGCCGGCCCCAGGGCCCCCAAGAGAGCTCTCAGACGGCCCAGGAGGCCCCAACCCAAGACAGCCCAAGAACCCCCCAAGACGGCCCAAGACGGTCCCAAGATGACCACACGAGGGGGAACTCGAACTGACATTTTGCGCCCTCCGCTCCATGATGATCCCAGACACCGCCAGCTGGCCCCCAGGAGGCCACCCAGACGCCCCCAGAAGGGCCTCGAAGAGGCCCACATCAGGCCCCCAGAGACTTTCGAGAGGCCAGAAGACACCCCCGAGACCGCCTCCAAGAGGCTTCCGAGGGATCTTCTCTGGAACCGCGCCAGCCACCCTGGAAAATAAGCGCCGATGCGCCTCTTATTTTCTTCCCTCCTTTGCAGAGTCTCCAGTCTGACTTGCTCGCATCTTCGGAGCCTCCACGCCCCAAGCCGGCCCCAGGGCTCCCAAGAAAACTTCCGAGGGAAGATCCCTGGCCCTCCGACAGCTCTGGAACCGCGCCGGCCACCCAGGAAAATAAGGCGCCGATGCGCCTCTTATTTTCTTCCCTCCTTTGCAAAGGCTCCAGGCTGAGGTCGGGATCCAGCAGCAAGAAGCGGCATAATTAGGCGGCAAACACCGAAGAAAGACAACGAAAAGCCGCGAGTGGCAACACGCAGCACTCAGCAGCAGCAAGCGGCTGTAAAAGGCACGGGGCAGAAGCAAGCACGCTTGCCCAGACACCGCTCGCCACCTCGAGCAGATGTCGTGGACGTAGCCACGGGTCAGCCCTAGTCATCAGCTACAGCGGTGGGATCAGCGCGTGCGAGAAGGGCGGGCAGTGGCAGCTGGCCCTGGCGCTGCTGAGCGCGATGCGGGAGGCGAAGCTGGAGCCCGACGTCGTCTGCTACAGCGCTGGGATCAGCGCGTGCGAGAATGGCGAGCAGTGGCAACGGGCGCTGGCGCTGCTGGGCGAGATGTGGGAGGCGAAGCTGGAGCTCGACGTCATCAGCTACAGCACTGGGATCAGCGCGTGCGAGAAGGGTCAGCAGTGGCAGCCGGCGCTGGCACTGTTGAGCGAGATGCGGGAGGCGAAGCTGGAGCCCGACGTCATCTCTCCTACAATGGCTGCCCCAGCGCTCGCGGATGGTGAGAGCGGTGGTAGCGGACCAGCCCCCTCAGGCGGCCCCTGCGAGCCCCAGCAGGCCCCGGCGCGCTTCCAAGATGGCCCAGGAGTGTTCCGAGACGCACCAGGAGGCCTTCAAGAGGGCCCCCAGACTGCCGAAGACGTTCCAAGAGGGTCTGCGAGACGCGCCCAGAGCGCTCGACAACGCCTCAGACAGCCTCCAGACAGCCCAAGAGGATTCCAAAACGCCCCAAGTGGGCTCCACGACTCGCCCCAAGAGAGCCTGAACACCGAAAAATCGTCCCCGTCACTACGGGAAACGAGCATTTTCGCAGTTCTCGGGCTTGCCCTTTGCATAGCGCCCAAGACGGCCATACAGGGTCCCAAGATGGCCCCAGGACGGCTTCTGAGGCGCCCCTGGCGGCCCACGGGGCACCCACGACAGCCTCGAGAGCGGCCCGGGACGCCCCGGACGGTCCCCAGACTGCTCCAGAGACGCCCAAGACGGCCCCAGAGAACCCCCGGACGGCCTCAACACGGCCCAAGAGGCACCCGAGACAGCCCAAGAGGGCCCCAGGAGGCTTCCAGGAGGCCGAAAACAAGCGCTGAGAGGCTCCTAAACGACCCCGCGAGGCCCCAGGATGACGGCCCAAGAAGCACCGAAGGCAGCACCAACAGCAGCCAAAGACGGCCTAAGATGGCCCGAAGACGGTCCCAAAACGGCTCCAAGCGCACCATCGGGCTCCTCGGCCCTCCTGACGCTCGTTTGGCGCTCCCTGCTGGATGTGGCCCCAGATCCCTCGCCCTTTTTGTCGGTCTGGGGCTCTCTCCGCGGCCTCTTGGAGCCATGCCGTGTTTCGCTCTCGCAGCCCTCTCGGTGGCTTTTTGGGCCAGCATGGGGCCATTTTGGAGGCGTCTGACGGAAACTTGGGCCGTCTGGGGCTGTTTTGGGCCGACGTCCCACATGATACATGGGGCCATTTTGGGAGGCGTCTGACGCGATCTTGGACCGTATTGGGCCGTTTTGGACCGACGTTGCAAATGATGTGATGACGACGACGACGACGACGACGACGACGACGACGACGACGACGACGACGACGACGACGACGACGACGACGACGACGACGACGATGATGATGATGATGATGATGATGATGATGATGATGATGATGGTGATGATGATGATGATGATGATGATGATGATGATGATGATGGTGATGGTGATGGTGATGGTGTCGGTGACGGTGACGGTGACGGTGATGGTGATGGTGATGGTGATGGTGATGGTGATGGTGATGGTGGTGATGGTGATGGTGATGGTGATGATGATGATGCTGATGGTGATGGTGATGCTGATGCTGATGCTGATGCTGATGCTGATTTTGATGCTGCTGATGCTGATGCTGCTGATGCTGATGCTGATGCTGATACTGCTGCTGATGATGGTCATGCTGATGCTGATGCTACCGATGATGATGAGGAAGATGATGATGAGGAAGAGGATGATGATGATGATGACGATGACGATGACGATGCTGATGCTGATGACTGTGATGATGGTGAGGATGATGATGAGGAGGATGAGGATGAGGATGAGGATATGATGCTTATGATGATCAATGATGAGGATGGGTATGAGAATGAGGATGAGGATGAGGATGAGGATGGTGCTGATGATGATGAGGATGAAGATGATGCTGATGATAATGATGGTGATGACGATGATACTGATTATGATGATGACGATGATAATGCTGGTGATGATGATGCTGGTGATGATGATGACGATGCTAATGCTGACGCTTATGATGATGATCATGATGATGAGGGGGATGATGATGATGATGATGATGATGATGATGATGATGATGGTGATGATGATGATGAAGAAGAAGAAGCCTCCCAAGAGTCAACGGTGCCACGAGCCATCTCGGCCCAGTTCCTGACTCCGTGCCCGGGCTCCGCATGGAGCTCTTCGGCCTCCCTGACGCTTGCGTGGCGCTCCGTGCAAGATTTGGCCCAAAATCCTTTTTACTTTCGGTCGGTCACGAGCTCTCTCCCGGGCCTCTTCGGGCCCCGACGTGTTTCGTTCTTGCAGCCGTCCCGGAGGCCTCTTGAGCCATTATGGTGCAACCCTCGAGCCGTCTTAGACGATCTTGCAGCAACCTAGGGGCCGTCTCGGGCCATATTGGGCCGAAGCTCCAAATGAAGTGACGACACTGATGCTGATGACGATGATGATGGTGATGATGATGGTGATGATTATGGTGATGATGATGGTGATGGTGATGATGACGATGATGATGATGATGATGATGATGATGATGATGGTGATGATGATGGTGATGATTATGGTGATGATGATGGTGATGGTGATGATGACGATGATGGTGGTGATGATGATGATGATGATGATGATGATGATGATGATGATGGTGATGATGATGATGATGATGATGATGATGATGATGATGATGATGATGATGATGATGATGATGATGATGATGATGAGGGGGAGGATGATGATGAAGTCTCCAAAGAGTGACCGGTGCCATGAGCCATCTCGGCCCAGTTCCTGTCTCCGTGCCCGGGCTCCGCATGGGGCTCTTTGGCCTCCCAGACGCTTGTTTGCCGCTCCCTGCAGGCCTCAAGGCGGCTCAAAATCATCCTGGGGCGGCCCAAGACGCCCGCATTCCCCCGAAGGCAAGCAGCAACAGCACGCAGCAAAGGTAAGCATTGCCCACAGCACGAAGCAGCTGCAGCAAGCAGCGGCACGCAGTAGCATGCGCAGAATTCGAAGTTCGAGCCACACGTCATCATGTCAGGCCTTTTGGCAGCATGTCCACCACCACTTGCCAATTCGTGCTGAGTTCGTGGACGGAGTCCACGGGTCAGACCTAGTCTATACTACAATACTGGACATTGCGCAGAAGGGCGAGCGATGGTCACCCGCGGCGGCGCCCCGGGGGCCCCGCCCGTAGGGTGACGCCGTCCCGGCCCGGGACACCCCAGGGACGGCCCACGAGGGCCCCGACGCGGAGGCCTCGAGAGTCTCCCGGAAGCGCCCCAGCGAGCCCGAGAGGGCCCCAGGACGGGCTCGGAGGGCACCCGCGAGCTTCCACGGAGCTCCCAGGGGACCCCCACGAGGGCCCCGAGGCCGCAAAACCATCGATATCCTCGATGGTTTTTGACGTTTCCGGTGGTGCTCCTCCCGCCCGCTTCGAGACGCCCACCACGGCACCGCGGGCGTCCGAAATCGGGCCAAGAGAGTCCCCAAGACGTCCCCAGAGGCCCCTGATCGAGCTCCCGGGGCCCCCAAGACGGCCCAAGAACCCTCCAAGGGACGCCCAAGCGGGTCCGGGCCCCTCCACGGCCAGCAGGGCTCCAAGACGCCCCCGAGAAGCCCCCAGAAGGCCCCGGAGGCGCTCCCAAGAGGCCCCCAGCGCTTCCCCCCCCTCTGGGCCCATCCACGGCCAGCAAGGCTCCAAGACGGAGGCCCCCACAAGGCCCCGGAGGCGCTCCCAAGAGGCTCCTGGGCGCTCTCCAGAGGCTCCCAGAAGGCTTCAGCGGCGCTCCCAAGAGCTCTCAAGAGGCTCCCAGAGGCTCTCCAGATGCTCCCACAGGAGCCCCACGAGGACCCCCTCCCGTGTATCGGAGGGACCCCCGCCGCTTCCCCGATACCCCCGCTGGGAACAGCTTGCTACAGCCTGGACAGGAGGAAGGGGATGAGACGGAGGAGGGCGAGAGGAGGGGAGGAGGAGCATGCGGAGGGAGAGCAACGTCAGCAGCAGCAGCAGCAGCAGGGGCAGCAACAGCAGCCGCAGGAACAGGGGGGGCGCGAGCAAGGGGTGGGGAGGAGGAAGGCGAGGGGGAGCGCGCGTTTGGCATGGAGAAAGCCGTACCCCACACCTCTTGGGACACGCTCCGTGCGGGAGGGGTCCACGGAAAGGGGGCCTGGGACGTCTGCGGGTGGTCCAAGCAGGGCGTGTTTTGCATCCCCTCCCAGGCGATGCGTGTCCCAAGAGGGGTGGGGTGTTGTTTTTTCCAATCAGGGGCGATGCTCCGGAGCAGGAAGGCCCAGGGCACGCTGGCTGCGCAAGGGTGGATGGGCCGACGTGTCCTGAGGAACCCGCGAAGGGGCCGCGCTCTTGGGGTGGAGGCGGAGAGGGGAAGGGGCGGTCATGCCTGAGAGGTCCTGGAGGTGCGTTTTGGGGGGAAGTGGCGCCAGTGTGCCCAGATGCCCCCGTAGGGTGAGAGCCGATGGACGTGGTGGGGAGACTGCTGCGCGGCGTGTAGTTATGCATGCCCGGCTGGGGCATGGCGCCTTCGGGGGGCCTCTGGAGCGCGTGCTGGGGACTGAACGTGTCTCGCACGGCGTACTGATATTTCAAAGCTGCGAGGGAGCGGTGGAAATTCCGCACGCATCAGAGTTACGGGATTACAAGAACACACGTCGGATGCCGGCACTCTTGGCTCAGGCTGCGCGGTGCGAGTGCACGGGCGTACATGTCGCCAGACGCATGCCTTGCAAGGGCGCGGTCTGAAGCATTGCTTGCGGCGACGACGACAACGACGACGTCGATGACGACAGCGACGACGACGACGACGACGACCACCACGACGACGACCACAACGACGACGACGACGACGACGACGACGAGGACGAGGACGAGGAGGACGAGGACGAGAAGGCCTCCAGGAGGCCCCCGGAGGTCCGCGTCGCTTCTGTTGTTGCCCGAGCTGCTGCTGCACCTGTTGCTGCTAGCTGCTGGTGCTGGATCTGCTGCTACTGCTGTTGCTGCTGCTGCTAGCGCTGCTGCTAGCGCTGCTCCAGACGCCGTCAGGATCATCATGCAAACAGCGCACCCTGAAGCAATCTTGCAGCAACGAGCGTACGCTCAATCCTCTGGCATTCGTGGACGGTCGTCCATGGGTCAGCCCTAGTCAGCTACAACGCTGGGACCAGCGCGTGCGAGAAGGGCGGGCAGTGGCAGCGGGCGCTGGCGCTGCTGAGCGAGATGCTGGAGGCGAAGCTGGAGCCCAACGCAGCCAGCTACAGCCCTACGATCGCGTCTCTGCTGCGCAGAAGAGATGCGACGTCATCAGCTACAACGCTGGCATCAGCGCGTGCGAAGAGGGCGAGCAGTGGCAGCGGGCGCTTGCGTTGCTGAGCGAGACGTGGGATGCGAAGCTGGAGCCCAACGTCATCAGCTGCTCGCGCGTGCGAGATGGGCGGGCAGTGGCAGCGGGCTTTGGCGTTGTTGAGCGAGATGCGGGAGGCGAAGTTGGAGCCCGACGTCATCAGCTACAACGCTGGGATCAGCGCCTGCGAGGAGGGCGAGTAGTGGCAGCGGGCGCTGGCGCTGCTGAGCGAGATGTGGGAGGCGAAGCCAGAGCCCGACGTCATCAGCTACAACGCTGGGATCAGCGCGTGCGAGAATGGCGAGCAGTGGCAGCGGGCGCTTGCGTTGCTGAGCGAGACGTGGGATGCGAAGCTGGAGCCCAACGTCATCAGCTGCTCGCGCGTGCGAGATGGGCGGGCAGTGGTAGCGGGCGCTGGTGCTGCTGAGCGAGATGCGGGAGGCGAAGCTGGAGCCCGACGTCACCTCTTCTCTATGGCGGGCATCAGCGCGTGCCAGAAGGGCAAAACAGCGCACGTGGACCAATGCGCCCCCTGGAGGGCCATTTTTCGACACCCCTCACGAATATCCTGGCCCCCGAGCGTCACAAATCGAGCCCTCCGCCCAAAGACGCGCCGAAGTGGCCATAAGAGGCTCCAAGGAGCGTCCAAGAGGCCCCCTAGAGGCCCCCTACAAGGCCCAAGAGGCCTCCAAGAGCCTCCAACAGTCCTCCGAAGCGTGCCCCCAGAGGCTGAACTTCTTATTAATTCTCCCAACAGGTCCACAAGACCGCCCCAGGACGGCCCAACAGGCCTCCAAGCGCGTCTACAGACGGCCCAGGGAGCCCCACGATGGCTCAAGAGGCGCCCAAGACGGCCCCAGAGGAACCCAAGCCAGGCCCAAGAGGGGGCCAAAAAACGATGAAAAACCCTGACACTCCGAGCCCTGGGCCCCCATGCGCCCACACAAGGCCCCAAGACCCCCCCAAAGGGATCGCAAAGAGGTCCCCACCCAAGAAGCCCAAAGACGCTCCACTTCCACGTCCACGCCATGGCGGGCAGATTCCGCGGCCGGAAAACCGCGGGTCAGCTCTAGTCTCTCCTCCATGGCCAGTGGAAGCTCTCAGGGCCTCGTGTGCACAACATCGCCCCTTTACGGCGCCACCACGGGGCCGAGAGGCGCTCCAGAGGGCGCTCCAGAGGGCCCCTTAATCGCCCCTCAGGCTGGTCCCAGAGGCGCTCCAGAGGGGTTCCCAGACCGTCCAAGAGCGCACAAAGACGGACTCAGTGGGTCCCGAGACGGCCCACGAGGGGAGGGCCCGAAGCCTTCGGGGGGGGGGGCTCCACGACGATCCAAGAGGCCGCAAAGACGCCCCAAGAGGCACGCCAAAGAGCCAAAATCGTCAAAGTCCTATGGGAAACGTATATTTTCAGCATGCCCGCCTTGTGCGCTCCTCAGCAGCCCAGGACACACCTCCAAACACTTGCGCTTGCGAAACAAGCACAAGTGTTTGCGTTAATCGTCCAGTCGATCGATCAACACCAGAACGGGCCGAGGTCTGCCGTACTCCTGAGCACATTTGCCGTGCTGTGCTTGAGCTCGAGGCCACTGTTTCTCTCCGCGCTGCATCGCTCGCTGTTTCTGCTACCACCTTGTTTGAGAATCGCTCGCGTGTTGTCGCCAAGCGCCCCGCATCCAGGCATGCCAGGGCAAGAGAGAGAGAGAGAGAGACGCGTGATGCCCCGACCCGAGATTCGTGGCACCAGTTTCAGCCTCTGTGCCGAAGGCGTGGCGGTGCTCCAATTGCACACCCCTTGCCTGTGAGATTTCGGGACCTGGTCTTAGGTCGGGCGTGTCCCCTGCAGGCGGATGTGGGTTGAGTCATAAGCTCTGTTAAACTATACACCGAACGTGTTGAAGCAGACTCGAAAACAATCGTCCCCGGACTCTCTTTATTTTTATGTTTGGGTATACCCCTCCTGTAGACGGAGAGGCCCGACTTACACGTGGTCCTGACTGCCTGTGATGCCCCGGCGCCCGGGCCCCCTCGCCCCGCTCTTTCTCTGGGGCATTGTGCCCGCTCCAGAGCCCGAGGCCTCCCGGAGGACGAGTGGAGGCGCCTCTGCTTGGAGAATCCGCCCTGTTGTAAGTCGGGCCCATCCCTCTACAGGAGGGATCTTCAAAAATAGTAAACAAATAGTCAGGGGACGATTTGTTCAACCATTCTTGAATATGTTTTGAGCATCTGTTGGCTAATATTTCAAATTCTTCGTCCAAAATCCCCCTGTAGGGGAGAAGGCCCGACCTCATATTTGTGGCCTGTGCAAGTCCTGGGCCGCCCATCTGGGGACGATTTTTTAGATATATGTTGACCATTTGGGGGTATTTTTTTGACTATTTTCTCTTTCGGTCAAAATCCCCCTGTAGGAGGACAGGCCCGACATAAGCCTTGTCGTGGCGCCAACATCGCAGAGCGGATTTAGTTCGGGAAACGGTAGGATGGGCCCGGAGTGTCCTGGAGAATCTCGTTCCGGATCTCGAGGCGAATTTCGTGCGGATTTGTTCTTGGCCAGGAATGGAGACCAAAAGGAATCCACGCGAAATTCACTTCGTTTTTCGTTCGCCGCTTCGGGCAAAGGTCCACGCAGAAATCCGCGCAGAAAGCTGCTGCAGCACGTCTGCAAGGCCGGTGCAGTAAGCCTTGTGAAGACAGCGCACCCAGCCTCCACTGACGTAGTCTGCCATTCTTGAAGGGTGAAATTCAGAGTCAGCACTGGCATTCTGTGCTATGCTGCCACCACCCCTCCTCCGCCAGACGCTGCGACTTCGGCAGCTGGCATCAAGGGCTTGGTGTCGACTCCTGGAATGCGTGCGTTGCTCGCACGCGTCCAGGTCAGAGAGGCAGCAGCAAAGGCTGCCAGCAGCACAGACTAACGTTGTGTAACCTCGGTCACGCCTCAGGGCTAGCAGAGGAAACACATTCTCTGGATTTACCACGCTTAATCCATCTTAATCCTGCTGTATCCGGCTAAAGCCTGTTTGGCTTGGTTTCGCCCTGGGCTTCCTCTGGCCGATGCTTGCTCAATGGCCTCTTCCAGTGGAAACCCACGCCAAGAAACACCCTGCTTGCCTCCTGGGTGCCCTGGGTTTCTTGGGCTTCCATGGCGCTGCTATGGCAAGCGTGACGTTCCCACACCAAGAATCAGTGGACGTCCTGGGGTCTCTCAAGGTTAGGTTTCTTGTGGAAGATTTCTTGTGGTCGAGCTCCTACTGCAATCGGGCTTCATAGCCGTGCATCGTTCTGGCTGGAACGTTTTAGGAGTTGCCTGCTACTGGAGAGTTGCGCGCCCAGCCTCCAGTGACGGCCAGCATCTGCAAGCCAGCCTTAAGTCGGGCATGTTTCTCTACAGGGGGAATATTCAAAAATAGCAAACAAATTGTCAGGGGACGATTTGTTCAACCATTCTTGAATATGTTTTGAACATTTGTTGACTAATATTTCAAATTCTTCGTCCAAAATCCCCCTGTAGGGGAGAAGGCCCGACCTCATATTTGTGGCCTGTGCAAGTCCTGGGCCGCCCAGCGACCAGGCAGCCTTCTGGTCGGGTGCATTGCTGCCCCTGATCAGCCCCCGCAAAGCCGGACCCGAGCAGATGCAAGCTCCTCAGAGGACGAGGAAGGGCAAGCCCCGGCCCACTCCACCCCAGCAGCCTGCCAGTGCATTGGGGTTCGCATGTCTGTTGTCGCCCTGGACTCGCAGATCTCCTGTCCGTCGACGTTCGACCCGTCTGCCGTCCGAGTTCCGCTTGATGTAGCACGCGGTTTGTAAGCCCTCCCCGTCTTCCTCCGTCCTTGTCCTCCTCCCAACTTCCTCCTCGTCCGGCTCCCTCCTCGTCTTTCTCCAGGCTTTTTGTGTTTCATCATGTTGGCGTTTTGTTTAATGTGTCTGGGCGTTGTCGCAATAGCCGAAGCGGTTGTTCCTGGTATTGTAGTGGCCTTCGGCCAGTGCCGACGATCCGGGTCGCTCGGATACACATATTACGCGGACACCTCACGCACGCACACGACCAAATGCACATACGGCAGACACACATACAGAGACACACTAGGCGCACGCCAGACACTAGCACGCACAGACATTCGCAGACACGCACCACACACAGACACTCGCACAGGAGCCTGTCAGGGCGTCGAGGGGGCTTCTTGGGGGCTTTGGGGGGCCCTCTTGGGGGCTCTTGGGGCCTCCTGGGGGCCTCGTGGGCTGGAAGGATAGATTTTTTCAGCTTTTCGTCCCTCTTTTGGGTCCTCTTGGGGCCGTCTTGGGGGCCTCTTGGGCCGTCTTGGGCGGCTTTTGGGCCGCCTTGGGGCTCTCTTGGGCCGTCTTGGGACTGTCTGGGGGCCTCCTGGGCCGTCTTCGAGCGGTCTTGGGGGCCTCTTGAGCCGTCTTGGAGCTTCGAAAAACAGAAAAAAGCGACAACCCCAAACACATGAAAAAAACAATGGAAATCAACGATTTTTGCCTCTGGGGGCCCTCGTGGGGGGCCTCTTGGAGGCCTCTTCAGACGTCTTGGAAGGCTCTTGGGCCGTCTTGAGGCCATCTTGGGCGTGTTCGGGCGATCTTTCGGGGTCTCGGGACTTTCTCAGACCGTCCTCAGAGACTTTTGCGGCCGCGGCCACCCTTACAGCGCATCCTCGAGATTAGAGCCTTCTGTAAAAGCAGCCCCCCCGCATCCGCCGGAAACTCGCACCCCCCCCCCCCATCCCCCCTTCCCCGGCAGAGCCACCCCGGCAACCCCCCCCAGAGGCTGAGGCTCAGCCTCGAGGCTGTAGCTGAGACTCCTTGAAACTCACACGCCGGATCGGCGGATTTCCGAGGTGTGCCTTCTCCGCTCTCCTCCAGCCCCAGATCTCGCTGCCTCTCGTCATTCCAGAGTTCCGGACAGCATGAGGCCCCCATCCCCTGCTCCTCCCTTCCCCTGTCCTGCGCCCCCCCATCTCAGTATCGCTTAGCCGATCCCCATCCCCACTGGGTCGTGGCATCTCGGCCCCCCTACCCTGCCGCCCCCCACAGGCTGGGGATAACTATGCCCCACGAGGCCCGCGGGGAGCAGCATCTATCCCCCATCTAGTGGGCTAAATCGGCCAACGGGGCCAAGGCCATGCTCACCATCCCGCCCCCCGTCCTCGCTCTCCCCCGCCCCCCAACCGCTTGGTCCTTCTGCCCCAGCCCTCCCTGTGCCGGGCCCGCCTTCTGGACAGGGAGCGCTGTTGCTCCCTTCTCCTCCTCCTCCTGCCCCCACCCCCGCTGCTCTCCGCGTCTCGTCCCGCCTGGGGTGCTGCCAGTTGCGCGCAGACGTCGCGCCTTTGTTGCGCCCCCTGGCTGCGCCCTGGGCAGAGCATGCAAGTCTCTCGCCCTCCCGAGTGATGCACCAGGAAGGGCTCGAGAAGTCTGCAGGTCCAGCGCGCGATCGGTCGCTGAAGAACACTTGCAGTACAGAGTGATGGGGGCCCTGCTCCGAGTGGGATAGTAGTCGCCCCTCCTCCCTGATTGGAAGGGGGGGGTATGGGCGCGTGCTGTCGGCACGGGGCTGAGGGGATGGAGATTCGCGTGTAGGAATTAATGTGGTTGGGACGGGGACGCCCCGACGCAAGATTAATCACCCCCCTCCCCCGATTATCACGGTGGGGGCATTAGTTAAGGAATGTCCCCAGGAGTCTTCAGACTCTGGGGGATCCCTCGTCTGACGAGGGCGGCGGTGACGTGCATGGCAAGGCCTCAAGCGGTGGTCCGCCGCCAGCTCGTGGGCCGTGGTTTCCTCGTCCGATGGTTCCTCGTCCGATGCCCGTCGCCGCACTCCGTCTTGAGCCAGGGCCCCCATGGGCACCAACATTCGTGCCTCGCGACACGGTGGCGGATCCCCATCGCCCCCTCCTTGTGTGCCGCCAGGCGCGCCGTTGCCGCATTCGCGCGATGCATTACAGGAACTTGAAAGGCTCGGGCTCCCCAGGCCCTGGCAGCCATGCTGGCTCGAAGGGCTCCTCCTCCTCCTCCTCCTCCTCCTCCCCCTCCTCCTCTTCCTTCTCCCTCTTCCTCCTCCCCCTTCTCCTCCTCCTCCTCCTCCTCCTCCTCCTCCTCCTCCTCCTCCTCCTTCTCCTCCTCCTCCTCCTCCTCCTCCTCCTCCTCCTCCTCCTCCTCCTCCTCCTCCTCCTCCTCCTCCTCCCCCTCCCCCTCTCCCCCTCCTCCTCCTCCTCCTCCTCCTCCTCCCCTCCCCCTCCTCCCCCTCCCCCTCCTCCTCCTCCTCCTCCTCCTCCTCCTCCTCCTCCTCCTCCTCCTCTCCTCCTCCTCCTCCTCCTCCTCCTCCTCCTCCTCCTCCTCCTCCTCCCCCCTCCCCCTCCTCCTCCTTCTTCTCCTTTTCTTCCTCCTGCTCCTTCCTCCTCCTCCTCCTCCTCCTCCTCCTCCTCCTCCTCCTCCTCCTCCTCCTCCTCCTCCTCCTCCTCCCTCTCCAACTCTTCCCTTGCAGCAGCGTGCCACTCGAGAAACCTCTGCCACCTCGGGCCACGGGGCGGAGCGATGGGACCTCGATCGACTCGCTGCTTGCTTTGGTCTGTCTCGTGCTGGACTCGGCGATGTGCCCCGCATGGAGTCCACGCGGGCTCCCCTCGCCAGCGAGAGTTTTCTTCTCGCTGGCTTCCGAAACCAGCGACAGGGACAGTCTTCTAATGCCTTCACGAGAGGCTGCGGCCATAAGCGTTGCGAGTGGCCTCGGCGAATGCCCCTGGCGCGCTGGGGTGTGGGAGCAGGAGGAGGCGGGGGAGGAGGATGAGGAGGGGGAGGAGGGGGAGGAGGAGGAGGAGGAGGAGGAGGAGGAGGAGGAGGAGGAGGAGGAGGAGGAGGAGGAGGAGGAGGAGGAGGAGAGGAGGGAGGAGGAGGAGGAGGAGGAGGAGGAGGCAATCAGGCCGAACGGAGGAGTTGGAGGAGGAAGGAGGAGGCAGGGGGGGGCAGAGGAGGGAGAAGGAGGAGGGAGAACGAGTGGCTGCGGGGGGGGGGATCGGGGAGAAGGACGGCGGGGGCGGGCGCGGGGCGAGGCGGAGAGGGCGGGCGCGAGGGCCGGTCCCGCTCAAGCCCGCCGCGCCTCGCCCGCGGCGCCGCCGCGCCACCTGCGGCGCCCATGCCGAGCTGCGCCTTGCCGCTGCTCGCTCGCAGTTAGCGGGCAGCGGGACAGCCCGCCGCTGCAGCGCCAGACCCCCGCCGCGGTGACCTCTTGCTCACGGCGTCGGCCCCCAGAGCCTGTTTTTTTTTGGATTCAGGCAAGTTTACTTGCATGGCGTTCGCCCCCCCCCCCCCCCCTCGCCCCTCTTCAAGCGAATACTAGCGTGCAAGTGCCTTTCGACTTGCGTGATTTCCGCGCCCCCCGAACGTGCAAGTCGTTTGCGGCTTGCTTCAGGCTCAGCCCCCCCCCCGTCCATGCAAGTAAACTTGCCAGAGTCTTAAAAAAAAAAAAAACAGGCTCCCATGGGGTCGAGGGCCCTCCCCAAAGGGCCGATTTTGGTTCGTTCCGAGCGGTGTGACGGTGCTGACGGTCCCCTCCGGGGCCCGGCCGGGGGCCCCCGGAGGCCGAGATCAGCGAGGGCCCAGCGAAGGCCCCCGGGGCCCTGGGCCCTCGTCGTCTGCGGGGGCCGTCGCCGTCGCCGTCGCCGTCGTCGTCCGTCGTCGGCGTCGGCGTCGTCGGCGGCGTCGGCGTCGGCGGCGTCGTCGCCGTCGTCCGTCGCCGTCGTCCGTTGCCGTCGTCGTCGCCGTCGCCGTCGCCGTCGTCGTCGTCGTCGTCGTAGTCCGTCGTCGTCGTCCTTCGTCGTCGTCGTCGTCGTCGTCGCAGTCCGTCGTCGTTGTCCGTCGTCCGTCGTCCGTCGTCGTCGTCCGTCGTCGTCCGTCGTCGTCGTCGTCGTGATCTCGTCGCACCACGAGGGGGGTCTGGGGCGCCCGCCCCCCCCCCCGCGCGCGCGCCGCGCGGGCCCCGACCTGCGGCGCCGCCTGCGTCTGCAGCCGGCGGGAGATGCCCTCGCCCCCCGGGGCGCCCGGCCGCGCCGCCGCGAGCGACAGCGAGGCTCGGGTGGGCCCAGCCCAGAGATCCCGCCTCGGCCCTTCGCCGCACACCCCTCGCACCGCTCGGGTCCGCATATACACCTCGTGTAGGGAGCTCCTCCGCAGGCCCCATACATAGGCCTTGCCCCCTTATGGGCGTTACGCCCATGTCGGCACACCCCTCACACGTACCCAGAGATCCGACGCATCGAAAAAATCAAGACGGAGGTTTTTTGCAACGTTCGTCCTCCAGAGGCCCTCGCCGGGCCGCGGGACCGCCGAAAAACAGCTCAGGATGAAAAGCCGGTCCTGGGGAATGGGTCGAGGTTTTTGGGGTCCGCGCATTGAGGAAATCACGACGTCGGATCTTTGGGTAGATTTGTGGGGTTGCAATACATTTGGGGCGTGCAATACATTCCGGGGCGCAGACGTATTGCAGGATCTTCGCGCGCAGTGCATTACTTGCATTACAGTGCAACACAATTCTCCGGACGCAGTACATTTGCAATACAATTGCCCCAAATCGATTGCCCCTTTCAGCTGGACCCCCCCTTTGGGTCACCCGAGGAGGCGGAGAGCGCGGGCGGAGGCCCGGAGCGCCGCGCAGACGACCACGGGCGGCACAACCGACTCCTAGGCAAACCATGCCCTTCCCTGGGCCCCCTCGCGCTGTGCAGATCTCATCGGAGGTGGACAGACCTCCTACCCTGACACGTCGATTGAGGAATTGGCCGTTCTCGGTTCGCGAGAGGGCGTCGCGGCCGTCATTTTTGCGGGTCCAGGTCCGTCGGTTTCGGTCCAAGGCCGTTTTCACTAAGGGGAGGTTTGCTAAAGGGAGGTTTGCCCACCGCCGAACTCATTACGGGAGTTTCGGCCTCCGAGGGCCCTCGCCGGGCACGGAGACCGTCAAAAAACGACGCAGGATGAGACACCGGTCCCGGGGGAATGGGTCTGGACCGCTGGGGGTCGCGTCATGGAACTTATCCATGCCCCCTACATGGGCTCGAAGTAGATGGGATCGGAGGATCGTGCCGCATCGCCTAGGCATCGGCGATGCATTGCCGATGCGGCTCGATGTGGGGCCCACTTTTCTCCACGCCGACGTCGCAAGTGCATCACTGATGTATCGGCGATGCGGCGAGATGCTCCGACCCCATCTGCATGGACCCCATCTAGGAGGCCTCTACCCTAGAAAACCATCCCCTTCGGTGACGCCCCCCTCGCCTTGCCCCGAAGCGTATGTATGCAGAGGGGGGTGGCGCCACGGAAGGGGATGTTTTGCTATAGGGGTCGGTCAGGCCGCGCCCGATATGACTTTTCCCAGCCGTCCAGCGATGTTGGTTCCTCGTTGTGAACCAGCAGCGCCCCGCGTTCCCAGACGAGAGGTTTTTCTATATGTTCGGCCTCCGGGGGCTCCTATACCGCGCCCGGGGACCGTCAACAAAACGGCTCGGGATGACAAGCATTTCAGGGAAGGGGTCAGGACCTCTGGGGGTCGACACTGTGACACAACATGACGCCGGGTACCCAGACATGCGACGCCCTGATTTTTCCAGGACGGCGTCCCCTGAGGTCCCGACCCCTTCCCCGGGACCAGTTTGTCAAAAAGGCTCCCGTCCTGATTTTTGTTTACGACGCGATCATGTCTGGGTATCTGTGTTGGCTCCTCGTTTGGAATCAGCAGCGCCCCGCGTTCCTCACCTCCTCCCGCCCTCCCTCTTCCCGGCCCCGCCTCGGCCCTTCGCCGCACACCCCTCGCACGGCTCGAGTCCGCATATACACCTCGTGTAGGGAGCTCCACCGCAGGCCCCATATGGCCTTGTCCTCCTGTGGGCGTTACGCCCATGTCGGCACACCCCTCACACGTACCCAGAGATCCGACGCATTGAAAAAATCAAGACGGAGGTTTTTCGCAAAATTCGTCCTCTAGACGCCCTCGCCGGGCCGCGGGACCGTCAAAAAACGGCTCAGGATGAAAAGCCGGTCCTGGGGAATAGGTCGAGACTTCCGGGGACCGCGCATTGAAGAAATCACGACGTCGGATCTTTGGGTATAGTGGCGCCACAGGGAGCTTCACCGAAGGCCCCAGTGGCAGGGCCCTCATGCCCCCCTGGCACACTTCGGCACACCCCGCGCACGCGTCGTGGCTCCAAGCGGGAGCTCCACCGACAGCGGTACCCACAAGCCCTGAGATCCGACGTTGCGAAAACAAACATGCAACATCGCAAGCAATCACGACCGGAGCCCCAGACATGATTTATCTGCGCCACTTTTCGAGCCAGATCGATCGGTGAGGCCTCAGGGCCCGAGACGTCGCGAAGACGCCGGGTGTGAAAGAATTGCAACGCCAGGATCTCAGTTGGCGGCGGGCGAGGGGGGGAAGTGAGAAGGAGAAGGCCTTCTCAGAAGGCGGCGGGACTCTTCGGAAGCCCTTACTATGAGAAGTTTTCTGTGTCTCTGGGGAAGGCTTGAAAATTTTCACAAGGCCGGGAGACTTCCAAGCCTTCTGAAAAGGCCCGCCCCCTCTCACTTCCCCCCCAGGCTCGCCGCCGACTCCGGGATGGTCGGGCCATTCGCCAGGATATCATGTTCATTTGGCGAGGTTGCCTTTGGTTTCGGCGCAGGGGCCGCTTAAGGGCCCTGGGGCCATCGACGATACACTTGGGACGACACAAGGCCCCCCCGAGAAAGCGGTCGGACCTCCTGGGGCCGCGGGCTGCAAAAAGTCATATCCTCAGACCCCCTGGCGTTGTGACAAAAATCATGACTGGAGGTTTTTCCGAATCACGACGGAAGGTTTTCGCTGTGTTCAGCTTCCTGGGGCCCCTACTTACCGGGCCTCGGGACCGTCAAATATCGACTCCGGATGAAGAAGCCGGTCCCCAGGAAGGGGGTCGGGACCTCTGGGGGTCGACGTTGGAGCAAACGCACGACGGTGGGGGTCTGCGTCGGCGGATGTCAGGGGGCCTGGACTGGCTGTCCAGGCAGCTGGGCATGCTGCTGCGTCACAAGGCTCCGGGGCAGCGTCAGGCGGGGGCATCAGGGGGGGGGGGGCGCTTGGACGCCCCCCCCAGAGATCCGACGCATTGGAAAAATCAAGACGGCGGTTTTTCTCAAAATTCGTCCTCTAGAGGCCCTCGCCCGGCCGCGGGACCGTCAAAAAACGGCTCAGGATGAAAAGCCGGTCCTGGGGAATGGGTCGAGACTTCCGGGGACCGCGCATTGAAGAAATCACGACGTCGGATCTCTGGGCCAGTCACCCCGTGATCGCCGGCAGGGGGCCTGATAGCCCACGCCGCCCAGGACGGTGGGGTGTTTTGCTGTCGGTGGGCCATCGCCGATCTACGCAGAGGCCCTCGCGTTGTGGAAAAAAACGCCATGGGAGGTTTGTCGCTATATCTTCGGCCTCTGGGGGCCCCTATGCCTGGCCTCGGGGCCGTACCGAGAGCGATCCAGGATGGAAAGCCGGTCCCGGGGGAAGGGGGTCCAGACTCGTGGGGGTCGCCGCAGTGAACAAGCACGACGTGGCCCGGGTATGGGTATCGGCGATGCCCCGCTTCCAGCCCGATGCGCCGATGCGTCCCCCGAGCGCTCCCCCTCGCAGGCGCAGAAGCGCGGGCTGGCCATGACCAAGGCCCGGGGCGATCCAAATGGGTACGGAAAGAATGCGCACGATGCCCAACAGCAGTCCTTGTCCATTTTGAACAGGGCTCGCTGTCCGCGCCGCCGCGGACGTTGTTTCTCGAGGACAGGAGGCCGCCTGCGCAACAGCGGCCGCTGTCGGTGTTGAACAACCTTTGTTGTGCGGCATTGCACCCATTTGTCCCGTGCCCACTTCGGGCGTCCCAAAATCGTGGGTGGACAGAACCTCCCCCCACCCTGACACGTCGACTCGTGCTTTGTCCGCTCTCGGTCCTCGAGCGGGCGCCGCGGCCGTCATTTTTTCCATGCTCGCGCCCGCCAGGGCTGTGGGCCCGAGGTCCCGTTCACTGAGCCACGTCTTGCTGAAGGGGGCTCTGTCCCCAGACATCGACCGTCCTGATGTTTTCAGGACGGCGCCCCCGGAAGATGCTCCAACCTACTTCAGCCTTGATCACCAGGAAGAATTTCGAGCGCCCAAACAAGTACCGAAACTCAAGGGTTTTCACGTGTCGGGCCCTGGGAGACACTCGCCCGACACTGTTTCGACATTGTTTCGATACTCTTTTGACACTTTTCCGGGTGCTCGAACCTGGATGTGGTCCTTAAGTCGGATGGGGGCATCATAACCCTTTCCCTGGGGCCGGTCTGTCATCCTGAGTATTTTTTGTCGCTCCCGGGACCCGGGAAGGGCCCCCAGGAGTCTAAAATACCAGAAACCTCCCGTCCTGATTTTCTTTACGACGCGATCATGTCTTGGCCCATCCCCGGAAAAAAAAGGCCGGCTGGGTGGAGCTAGTCCCTGGAAGTCTCGACCCATTCCCCAGGACTGTCTCTTCATCTTGAGCCGTCGTTTGACGGTCCCGCGGCCCAGCGAGGGCCTCTAGAGGACGAATCTGGCGAAGAACCTTCATCTTGATTTTTGTCAATGCGTTGGATCTCTGGGGTTCCGTCCATCGATCACCACCCTGATGGTCCGCTACCGGAAATTTCCGGTAGCGCTCCGCAGAGATCGGTCGCTACCGAAATACCGAAATGTAGCGCCCAATACCGGTATCAGACTGTTCTGAAATCCGCTATTTCAACGCCCTCAAACGAAGATCCGGTCGCTACCGAAATTCGGGGTGCGTCGAAATCGCTACCGAAAATTTCCGGTACCAGACCATCTGGGCAAAAAAAGGCCGGCTGGGTGGAGCTGGACGACCTGCTCGGCAAGCTCCCGGGCATTGCCGGCACGCCCGCGCGGCGCGCGGACGTGCAGCGCGTCGTCGCGGACAGCCGCCACAGGGACGGCGCACCCCGCTTCCAGCTCCGCGCGGACCCGCGCGGCGTCGTGCACATCCGGGCCGTGAGGAACCACTCGATCCCCGGCGTGGTCGTGGACCCGGGAGGATTCGAGGCTCAAGAGACCCAGACCCCGTCGAGCAGTGACAAAATCAAGACGGGAGGTGTTCTGCCATTTTCGGAATCTGGGGGCCCTCGCCAGGCCTCGGGACTGTCAAAAAACGCTTCAGGATGAGAAACCGGTCCCGGGGAATGGGTCGAGACCTTTTGGGGTCGACGTTATCAAAATATCATGGCGTCGGGGCTCAAGAGACGGGGGTCAGAGGAAGGTGCCTCTACCCTGTCCTCGTTTTCGCCCTTTTGGGCCTCCTCTCGGAGGTCCTCGTCGCCACCGCCGGATGCGCCTCGAAATTTCGGCCAGAACGCACACCGGGAGAAGCCCTGGGAGTAGCGGTATCGGTACTTTTCGGTTTCCCCCAATGGTCAATGCAAACGGGGGTCAGCCAGAACGCCGGATCTTGCAGGATCCTTCAGGGCCAGGTCGCATTGACCCGGGCTTGGGTGCAGGATCCTGCACAGGGTCTTGCAGGGCCAGGGTCGCATTAACCTGGGCTTGGGTGCAGGATCCTGCAGGATCCTGCAAGGCCCGATTGACCCGGATTTGGATGGACCTGGGTCAGTAGATCCCCGAGAGGAGAGCGTTTTTTGGTAATCCCGTGGCGATAACGGCCATTACTGGGAGGGGGGCAGGGCGGGAGAGGCGAAGGGGCTGGTGACGTCACGGTTCGCGCCGGCACCGTTTGGGAATTATAGTTGCCCCCAGCGTTGCCAGACGGCGCCGTCGCGAACCGTGGCGTTAATTACCACCAGGAGCGGGGGGGGAAGGGGGGAAGGGATCCCTGGCAACGGCTGTTCCTGCGAATCGCTGACAAAACATAGGGGAACGAAGGATGACATAAACGTCAAAACTCGGAGGTTCGCGCGGATTTTCCGGGTCGGCGCTGGACCCCCTGGCGGCGCCTCCGGCGCCGCTCCTGGCCAGCACCGATCCGAGAAATTCGCGCGGACCTCCGAATTATGTTTATGCCGTTGTTCGTTCCCTTCGAGAAACAATCGCCAGTTCTCGTTCGCTTTTATGTTTATGCTTATGCCATGGATTCGTTCTCTCTTTGTTTAACATGTGTATATATACACACATATATAGATGATAACTATATATATATATACACAAATAATAAACGCTCTCAAGGACGGCGTGGGCCCCCTCTGCACCTCGGCCGCTCCCCGCCGGCGGCGCTGGACGCGCCCGTGCGGGCCGCGCCGCCGCCGCCGCCGCCGCCGGGCCGCCCTGCCCAGCTGGCCGCGCCGCCGGCGGACGCGGGGCGTGGCGCCGCCTGGTGCTCGGGGGCAACGATACACTCTAGGCGATGCTTAAGGAAACCCAAGTTTTCGGCCAGAGTCTCGATTATTCTTAATTCTGAATGTTTCAATGTAAATCATAAGATTTGGATAGACAGTTGGAGTTTTTATTCAAATTCTGAGACTATGAAATTCTTAACCCATGATTTCTAAAGCATTTCACAGGGTGTAGGGGGACAGGCAGAGGGGGGATGCATCGACCCCCAATCGCGTATGCATCGCCGACAGGGATCTGATGGCCCCAGCCCGCCCAGGAGGGTGCGGATTCGCTCTCGGGGGCCTGTCGCCGATCTATCGGCGATGGTATCGCCGAGTCCACATCGGTGCATCCCCCCTACTCCAAATCCTGTATTTATTTTACCCCCCCTTACTAAGCCGGACTCGCGACCTGATCCTGATATTCCGGGCCCCCCTCGTCGATAGGGCGCCTTAGTAAACCTGACCCCCTAAGCTCCAATCCACAGAAAGCGCCCTAATAGGGCGCCCGGAATATCAGGATCAGGTCGCGAGTCCGGTTTATTCAGGGGAGTCAAATAAATACAGGATTTGGAGTAGGGGGGATGCACCGATGTGGACTCGGCGATACCATCGCCGATAAATCGGCGACAGGCCCCCGAGAGCGAATAAGAAACCGGACCCGGGGGACGATTCATATATGGGATTTGGGGTATGCCGGTCCCCCCCGATCGGTTGCCCCCCAGGTGCGTTGGCCCGCCAGGCCTCGCCGCTGCTCGGGAGGCCGCGGAGCTGCGGTACGCTGAAGTCGGGCCTGTCCCTCTATACAGGGGGAGCACTCAAAGAATAGGCAAGAGATCGCCAGGGCGCGATGTGCTTTGCTTTTTTTTTTGCCTATTGTCTAATCTTTGTTACCTGTTTTCTATTTTGGTTGGCCCAAAGTCCGCTCGTAGGAGGACGCGCCCGACCTCACCGTACGCGGAGCCCCTCCCGGCGGCGCTGTCCTGGGCGCCCGCGAGCGCCGCAGAGCCCCGCGCGGCGGCGCCGTCCTGGGCGCCCGCGAGCGCCGCGGAGGCGGGCTCGGTGGCACTATCCTGGCCGCCCGCGAGCGCCGCGGAGGCGGGCTCGGTGGCACTATCCTGGCCGTCGGCGGGCGCCGCGGAGGCGGGCTCGGTGGCGCTGTCGGCCACGGCGTGCGCCGCAGGGGCCCCCTCGGAGGCGGCGTCCTGGCCGTCCGTGGCGACGGTGAGCATCGCGGGGCCCCGCTCGGCGGCCACTGCCTCGGGATCGGCCGCCGGCACAGCGGCCCAGGCCGCGCCGGGCCCTGCGGAGGCCTCGGCGGCAGCGGCGGAAGGCGCGGCGGCCACGAGGCTCCGCGGCCGGGCTCGGGCGGCGTTCGACGGGCGCGGGTACGCGGCGCGCGACGGCGAGGGCGGCAGCTACCTCAGCTTCCAGGCGGGCGAGGCGCTGGCGCTCGTGCGGCCCCCGGCCGAGGTCGCCGGCTGGGCCTGGGGCGAGGTCGCGGGGTCGGCGGGCTGGTTCCCGAGCACCTTCTGGCAGGCGTCGCCGCCCGCCGGCCGCTCGCCCGCCGAGGCGTGCGCCCAGAGATCCGACGCCTTGAATTTGCCAGCTCGGGGTGCCCGGAAGTCTCGGCCCCTTCCCGGGCCCCTTCCCAGGGACGTGCCTTTCTCCCGAGGTGTCGCCTGACGGTCCTGGGGCCCGGCGAGGACCCCCTTATCATGGGACACACCCTGGTTTTGTCGAGGCGCTGGATGTCTGGGTCTGGCAGGCGCGGCCGCCCGCTGGCAGCTCGCCCGCCGAGCTGCCCGAGCGCGTGCGCCTGGCCGACCTGGACGCCAGGCTCCGCCGCTTGGAGCAGCGCGCCGGCGAGGCTCAGGAGGAGAAAAAACACACAGACACAAATAATCATCGATTCCCCAGGAAATAAGGGAAAATATGGGAAGTGGGGGGGAAGACAGAAACCCAGAAGATATGAGAAAATATGGGGGATATCTTTATTTGTGTGTATTTATTTGTGTGTCCTGGGGCCCCTTCAGAGGCGTCGGCCCTGGCGCCCGCGCATGCGCGGGGCGGCCTGGCGCAGGTGCAGGCCGAGGTGCAGGCGCTGGAGGCGGAGCTGGGCGCCGTCGGCCTCGCCGCCGCCGCGGCGGGGCCGGCGGGGCGCGGGCCGACCAGCGAGGGCGCCCTGGGGGCGGAGCGGGAGCGGCTGCGGGGGGCCGCGCGGGAGCTGCTGGAGAGGATCGAGGTCGATGGGCAAATTTCCCACCACCACCACTACCATGCCCAGACATGATCGCGTCGTAGAAATCAGGACGGCACATCTCTTACCATTTTCGGCCCTTGGGGGCCCTCGCCGGGCCCTGGGACCGTCGAACATCGACCCATGATGAAAAACCGGTCCTGGGGAAAGGGTTGGGACTTCCAGGGACGCCGTCCAGAAAGAATCAGGACGTCGCATGTCTGGGTAGGTAGGATGGGGGAGGAGGGAGGATGGGGAGGTCCGCCTCCTCCTCCTCCTCTCCTCCTCCTCCTCCTCCTCCTCCTCCCTCCTCCTCCTCCTCCTCCTCCTCCTCCTCCTCCTCCCCCCTCCTCCTCCCTCCTCCTCCCCCCCCTCCTCCCTCCTCCTCCCCCCCCCCCTCCTCCCCCCTCCTCCTCCCCCCTCCGCCTCCTCCTCCTCCTCCTCCTCCTCCTCCTCCTCCTCCTCCTCCTCCTCCTCCTCCTCCTCCTCCTCCTCCTCTTCCTCCTCCTCCTCCTCCTCCTCCTCCTCCTCCTCCTCCTCCCTGCTGCCCATGGCGGTGGTGGTGGACCACCGGCCCATCAGAGGTCGGGGCGCGCCTCTCGGGCGCCCGGGGCGCGGAGGCGCTGCGGGCGGAGCGGCTGCGGGCGGAGCGGGCGCGGGAGCGGCCGCCGGGGCCCTGCCGCGCGGGCGCCGCGGGAGCGGAGGCGCACGCCCCGGGGGACCTCCTCCTCCTCCGCCTCCTCCTCCTCCTCCTCCTCCTCCTCCTCCTCCTCTCCTCCTCCTCCTCCCTCCTCCCTCCTCCCTCCTCCCTCCTCCCACCTCCTCCCTCCTCCCTCCTCCCCCCTCCCTCCTCCCTCCTCCCTCCGCCCGCGGCGCCCGAGGAGCCTCGTGCTGCGTGCCTCCCCAGACCTCCTCGCGCTGTGGCGGCCCAGGGGTGTCAGGATGGAACTAATTCGGGCGTGTCCTTCTACACGAGGAATACTGAAGAATAGGCTGGGGACGATGGTTTGATTATTTTTCTGCACTTCTCCCAACCATCCTCTGCGGTGTGGGACTCTCGTGTTGGAGAGACAACGCCCCGCGTTCACTCCTCCCGCTGCCCCCTCCCCCCTCATCTCCCATCCGTGCCTCTCCTCCCATCCCTGCCTCTGTTCTCCGGATGTCCATTTCGGCACCTCTCACGCAGCTCGTGGCCCCACATCGAGAGCTCCGCCGACGGCCCCAGTGGCAGGGTCCGCACGGCACCGCCGCCCCAGTTCGGCACACCCCTCACACGGTTCGTGGCCCCACAGTGAGCTCCACCGAAGGCCCAACGTGGCAGGGTCCGCCTGGCCTCGCCGCTCCACTTCGGCGGGCCACCCCTGCCACGGTTCCACCAAAAGCGGTACCCACAGCGCGGTACTCACAATTGCGTATGGTTGGGTCTCTTTCGCCAAGATAATGTTATATATATATATATATATATATATATATATATATATATATAACAAACAACATGTTTCGTCCAAGATCCGCCTGTAGGAGGACATGCCCGACCTAACAGAAGTCCCCTAGATGTCCCCCGCCAGGCTCAGTGGGCTGGCCGTCCCGTTTGGTTTTCGGCTGGTTTTTCGCATGTGCTCGCCCTCTCGGCGGGGTCTCCTGGACAGCTGCCTGAAGCCCCCCAGGCAGCCCCCAGGCGGCCCCAAAGGGCCCCACGGGAACCCCCCAAGACCGAGGAGCGATTCAGGACTGGAATTCTTGGCATCAGTTATCGGTCTCTGCAGTGGGCCTTGACGGGGCCGCGGGGCTGTCATAGGGACGATCCCGGATGAAAGGGCCGGGAATACCCGGGGAAGGCCCCAGGGTTCGTTTCTGAGCGCATGAACAGGCTTAAACCCAAGATGTCCCGCCCGTTCGGACGCCGAATGGGCTCGTGCTTGCATCCGTTGCCGAACGGGCTCAGACGCCGAGTGTGCTCAGACGCAAACCTTGGGTCACCGAGCGCGTTCCCCTAGTCGCCGAGTGCCTAGTCGCAAACGTCAGAAGAAATGTGTTCCTCCATGTCAAAAATCGTGAATCCTACGCGGCGGATCCAGACCATGTGCGAGCAGTTACTTACCCTGTGAGTCGCGGACACACGCTTGCCCAGGAGGGCGGGAAGAGTTCGCGGCGGCGCAGGTTTGGGCCGTGCTTCGCGCCTCCCCAGACCCCCGACGTCATGATGGTTTCATCACGCCGACCCCCAGAGTCCTCGACCCCTTCCCTGGGGCCGGTTTCTCATCCCCCGCCGTTTTTTGACGGTCCCGAGGCCCGATAGAGAGCCTTCGGAGGCCGAACGATGAGCGAAAAACCTCTCGTCGTGCTGGAGGATCCTCCTCCTCCTCCTCCTCCTCCTCCTCCTCCAGGCCCGGGCGAGGGCCCCCAGAGGCCGAACATGGCAGCAAACACCCCCCCCCCACGATTTTTTCCACTGCTCGAGGGGGTCTGGGCCCCTCCCTGCCGCTGGCGCCGCCGGCGACGAGCGGCCGCTTGCCCGCGACGCGGCGCCGCCGCCGGCCCGCGAGGCGCCAGGGGGCCGCGCGCCGGGCCCCGCGGCGGAGCCTGGCGACCGCCAGGCCCCCGAGCCACGTGCGAGCGACGACGGGGTTCACGGGGGCCGGAGGAGGAGGAGGAGGAGGGAGGAGGAGGGGGGAGGAGGAGGAGGAGGAGGAGGAGGAGCAGGAGGAGGAGCAGGAGCAGGAGGAGGAGGAGGAGCAGGAGGAGGAGGAGGAGGAGGACGACGAGGACGAGGAGGCGGGCCCTGGCGACTCCCTCGCGTTGTGAAGAGAGTCGCCGCGTGAGGTTGTTCTATACCTTCGGCCTCCGGGGGCCCCTGCCAGGCGACGGGGCTGTGAAGAAGCGACTCAGGATGCACAGCCGGTCCCGGGGAAGGGGTCCAGACCTCTGGGGGTCGACGTCGCGGAAAAAACACGACGCTGGCGGCCTGGGGGCACGACTACGGTACTCCAGATTTCGTAATAAAAGGGAGGGGGTCTGGACCCTCCAAGACAAGCCATTCCAGACCCCCCCCCGTGGGAGAACCCTCCAAAACATCGTCCCCAGACCCCCCCAGGCCCTCCAAGATAGCCTGGAAGAGACCCCCCCGAAATGAGACCCCCCTCCTTTTATTACGAAATCTGGAGTAGATTCGCGCCGTGTCGACCGGCGGCGACCCTAGCGCGGGCATTCAAGGTTGAATGCCGCCTGTGGCCCAGAATCGGCCTAGATGGACCGATCGGGCGATCGGAAAGCCGCCGATCGTGCAAGGTTGAGCGGTAGACGCGGTGTCAGAAACCATTGCGAAGGTCGTCACGATAAGAACCTGCCGTACGCGTACTTGGATCGCCGCAGGGTTTGCAGAGAGGGCCGGTCGGGAAGTGTTGGGCGTCTCGCTCAGCCGGTTCTGTCTCGGCATTCTTCGGCGCGCCACGGCATCCACTTCGCGGTCCACAGGCGTCCACGCGCCGAGCCTTTCCCAGCCTCCCGCCCCGCGGAGCGAAGCCACACGCCATCCGAGTGCAAGGCTCAAAAATAGTAGTGACAAATAGTCTGGGGACGATGTGTGTGGGGTTTGTGGGTTTTGTTTTGATGATTTTTCATTTTTCCCCCAGAACCCGCCTGTAGGAGGACATGCCCGACCTCATGCAAGGCATGTTGTGACGCCAGGGCCGCCGCCGCGACACGCCAAGCAACAGTTCGCAACAGCAAGGGGTTACAAGTGATTCGAAGGTGGGTTGTGTATATATATATATATATATAGATCCTTCTCTGGCCTGACCTAGCTTGTGAGTGGGTTGCATACATCTGCCCTAAGTCATAAAAGGGCCTACAGATCCGGGCCGAGCGGGCGTAGTTCGCGGAGTTATCGAATCACCCTCATCCAACTCAAGATGAGGCGATCATAACCTAATTCTGAGCTAGGTTGGGCCAGACATAGCCTACCTTGGCATCCACTTCGAAGTCCCCCCGATCCTTAACTCCCCGCAGCGATCCGAATACGCAGGCGCAAGAGGCATATCCCACTTATATGCTAGGTCGGGCCAGATATAGCCTTCCCTGGCATCCACTTCGCACCCACCCCTTATCCTTCCCGGCACCCCCCGCGGCGATCCAAATCTACGCGTAAGGAGTGACCTTTCGCTCTGGGATTGACGTGTGTCAGGAGGGAAAGAAACACACAGACACAATTAATCGTCGACCCTCAGGAAAATATGCAACAATATGGGAAGTGGGGGGGAAGACAAAAACCCAAAACATATGGGAAACTATGGGGAATTATCTTATTTGTGTGTATTTATTTGTGTGTCCCAGGGCCCCTTCAGTGTGCTTCGGGGGCTCACATGGGCCCCCCCCCCCCCCACACGCACTGGCCTGCGCGCCTGGACTGGGCGCTCAGAGGCCCCCCCATTGATCACGGGGCCGCGCACCACGGGCCACTCCTGCCTGAAGTCGGGCACGTCCCTCTCCAGGAGGAGTCTGCAGACACAGTGAAAAAATTAGTCAGACACGACTTTTCTATATACTCGGTCGCCTTGAGATAGCACAGGCCAAAACCGACTTGTGTTATTGCAGTCGCTCGCGTTTGACGTAAAGTAAATCTTCGAACGCCGAGTTTTTTCGCATCTTCTGAACCCCAAGTCATGATGTCTCGGCTACTTTTGCAATTCTGTGCTCCGGGGACATCGAGAACAGCCCCTGTCCAAGTTTCTGCGTGCTGTCCTCGCCCCCTGTGTTGTGCTATGTGCGCGCTGTGCTATCCTCGCCCCTCCCCCCCATGATCCCCCCTGTCGCGCCCTGAGGCCAGTTTTTAGGGCGGGTCGGGCGTATCGCCTAAGACTTCCCCACCACCTATGA